AGAAGCTGTGTGTTTTAGTTGCTGGTTGAAGATGTAGATTTCAGTTGTGGGTTGAAGCGGTGAGTTTCACTTTTGTGGTGAAGCAGTGGGGTTCAGTTGTGGGTTTCAGTTGAGGGTTGAAGCTGTGGGTTGTCGGTCGAAGGTGTGGGTTGAAGTTATGGATTGTTGGTTTCAGTTGTGCGCTGAAGTTGTGCGTTGTGCGTTTAAAGTGTCGGGAGAAGCTGTGGGTTGTGGGTTTCAGTTGCGAGTTGAAGATGTGGGTTGCAATTCTGGATTGTGGGTTTCAATTGTTAGTTGAAGCTGTAGATTAAAGCTGTGGGTAACAGCTGTGCGTTTCAGTTGTGGGTTGAAGGTGTGGCTTGCAGTTGTGAGTTTACGCCGTGGGTTTCAGTTGTGGGTTTTGGATTTCAGTTGTGGGTTTCAGCTGTGGGTTGCAGTTGTGGGTTTAAGCTGTGGGTTCTTGGTTCCAGAAGAGGGTTGCTTATTGATGCTGTTGGTTTCAGGTGTGAGTTGACGCTGTGGGTTTCAGTTGTTGGTTTTCGGTATCAGCTGTGAATTTCAGTTCTGTGTTTTGGATTTCAGTTGTGGGTTGAAGCTGTGGGTTTCAGTTGTTGGTTGTTGTTTTTAGTTTTGGTTCAAGCCGTTAGTTTTGGGTTGAAACCGTTGATTTCAGTTGTGGGTTCAAGCTGATGGTTTTACCTGTGGGTTTCAGTTATAGGTTGAAGCTATGGGTTTCAGTTATGGTTTGAAGCTGTCGGTTTCAGTTGTTGGTTGAAGTTGTGGGTTTCAGTTATGGGTTTAAATTTGGGCTTCAGTTGCAGGTTGAAGCTGTTGGTATCAGTTGTTGATTGAATCTGTGGGTTTTAGCTGTGGGTTTTAGCTGTGGGTTTCGGTAGTAGGATGAAGCTGTGGGTTTCGGTTGTGGGATGAAGCTGTGGGTTTCGGTTGTGGGATGAAGCTGTGGGTTTGGGTTGTGTGTTGCCGCTGTGGGTTTCGGTTGTTGACTAAATTTGTAGGTTTCTGTTTTGGGTTGCACCTGTGGGTTTCTGTTTTGGGTTGACGCTGTGGATTTCTGTTCTGGATTGAAGCTGTGGGTTTGAGTTGTTGGTTGACGCTGTTGGTTTAAGTTGCGGGTTGAAGATGTGGGTTTCGGTTGTTGATTGAAGATGTTGGTTTCAGTTGCGGGTTGAAGCTGTGGATTTGAGTTGTGGGATGAAGATGTGGGTTTCAGTTGTGGGTTGAAAATGTAGGTTTCAGTTGTGGGTTGAAGCTGTTGGTTTCAGTTGTGGTTTGAAGCTATTGGTTTCAGTTGTGGGTTGAAGATGTTGGTTTCAGTTGTGGGTTGAAACTGTGGGTTTCAGTTATGGGTTGAATCTGTGGGTTTCAGTTGTGGGTTAAAGCAGTTGGTATAAGTTGCGAGTTGAAGCTGTGGATTTCAGTTACGGGTTGAAGCAGTGGATTTCGGTAGTGAATTGCAGCTGTAGGTTTAGGTTGTGGATTGGAGCTGTGTGTTTCAGTTGCTGGTTGAAGCTGTAGGTTTCAGTTGTGTGTTGTTGCTGAGGGTTTCGGTTGTGGATGAAGCTGTGGATTTCATTTTTTTGTTGAAGCTGTTGGTTTCAGTTGTGAGCTGAAGCTGTGGATTTCGGTTGTTGTTGGAAGCTGTGGAATTCAGTTGTGGTTTGAAGCTGTTGGTTTCAGTTGCGGGTTGAAGATGTAGGTTTCAGTTATGAGTTGAAGCTGTGGGTTTCAGTTGTGTTTTGAAGCTGTCGGTTTCAGTTGTGGATTAAAGTTGTGGGTTTCAGTGTTGGGTTGAAGCTGTGGGTTTCAGTAGTTGTGGGTTAAAGCTGTGGGTTTCAGTTGTGGGTGGAAGCTATAGGTTGAAGCTGTGGGTTTCAGTTGTGAGCTGAAGCTGTGTTTTTCGGTTGTGGGTGGAAGCTGTGGATTTCAGTTTTGAGTTGAAGCTGTGGGTTTCTGTTGTGAGCTGAAGCTGTGAATTTCGGTTGTGGATGGAAGCTTTGGGATTCAGTTGTGGTTTGAAGCTGTTGGTTTCAATTGCGGGTTTAAGATGTAGGTTTCAGTTGTGAGTTGAAGCTTTGAGTTTCAGTTGTGTTTTGAAGCTGCTGGTTTCAGTTGTGGATTAAAGTTGTGGGTCTCAGTGGTAGGTTGAAGCTATAGGTTTCAGTTGTGGGTGGAATCTGTGGGTTTCAGTATGTGTGGGTTAAAGCTGTGGATTTCAGTGATGGGTTAAAGCTGTGGGTTTCAGTTGTGGGTTGAAGCTATGGGTTTCAGTTATGGGTTTAATCTGTAGATTTCAGTATAGATTGAAGCTGTGGGTTGAAGCTGAGATTGAAGGTTTGTGTTGCAGTTGAGGCAGTGGGTTTTACTTGTGGATTGAAGCTGTGGGATGTGGAACATAGGAAACTAGTCTTTGTTTAGTGTGATATAGACTTGCCCGAGCTTTTAGTAACAGAAATAGATTTTATATATAAAGCCCACAGTCATGGCCCAGGACTATTTGATTGAAGACCAACTGAACTAAGAAGAGTTGAGGTAAAATCCTAGGTTTTAAACAACTGGATATACTAAAACACACTCTTCATCTGTTGGGTAGTAGACAGTCGATGAAAGCAAAGGCAAGACACCGTAGATTGCCGTTGATGGCATAAATCTGATCAAAGAGACGAGTAGAATGTACCATCCGCATACAGCAGAGTAAATGTTGGCAGCTGCCAGAGATCCCTGTCGGTGGTGTCGATTAGTAGTCTCTCGCCAATCTCGGTTCAGTTAAAGGCCATTCTCAACTTTAACCCTTTATATTTTTGTAACAATAATCCCAATTTAATGTAACGCGTCCGGCATTTAAGTAACAGCAGATTAAAGTTTACTTGCAAACTTTTGTGATTTACTTTTTGATTAACTTCTCAGCTAACTCACAAATTAATTTGATGGAGATTTATACTACCAAGATATATCTAAAACAGTAAACTCATATAAGCTTTCCACTTACGAATTGTAATTTCCTACAGCAATACGTGTCCACCATTGCAATAGTCTGCAGTTAAAAGGTCTTACTAGCTTCAATGATTCTAACCATTAGCACACATACAGGCTACACACATATATCTCACAAAGGTGGGAACAGTGTCCCGCTCACATACAGGCCACAAAACAGAAAGGTGGAAACACATACTAGCTACACACATATATCTAACAAAAGAGGCTACACAAATATACCTGACAAAGGTGGGAACTTTGTCGTACGGCATAAGTAGTGATTACAAACAAATTTATCATAAATGTGGGAACGGCGTTCTCCCGCATACATACTGGGTACAAACATATATATCATCAAGGTGGGAACGTTCTTCTCCGGCATACATACTGGGTACAAACATATATATCATCCAGGTGGGAACGGTGTTCTCCGGCATACATACTGAGTACAAACATATATATCATCAAGGTGGGAACCGTGTTCTCCGGCATACATACTGAGTACAAACATATATATCATCAAGGTGGGAACGGTGTTCTCCGGCATACATACTGGGTACAAACATATATAGCATCAAGGTGGGAACGGTGTTCTCCGGCATACATACTGAGTACAAACATATATATCATCAAGGTGGGAACAGTGTTCTCCGGCATACATACTGGGTACAAACATATATATCATCAAGGTGGGAACGGTGTCCTACGGCATACATACTGGGTACAAACATATATATCATCAAGGTGGGAACGTTTCTCTCAGGCATACATACTGGGTACAAACATATATATCATCAAGGTTTGGAAAGTTGTTCTCCGGCATACATACTGGGTACAAACATATATATCATCAAGGTGGGAACGGTGTCCTACGGCATACATACTGAGTACAAACATTGAGAAATGTTGCTGTTACTATTACCACAGGTTGGCACATTCTTTGGGTAATATAAATACTTAGAGAATTCTATAATGGTAAAATGTCGTACTTGAGGAAGTTAGTTATTTTCTTACCTGTTGGAAGCAACACTCCACATTAAAACTGCCTGACTTATGAAAAAAAAAGATTGGTGTAGAGGCACAAAACACTTTGACAAATTGAGGAAACATGGGTTTTTGTAATCCTGGAACATGAATGCCACAAAGCCCTTTCCATATTCATAAGAAATCTCTGCCAAAACCAGAGTTGATTGTACGATTCAGACTATATCATGAGCATGTGTTTATGAATCACTATCAAATAGTGATGATATCAGGTGTTCGCAAACTGTGGGCACATCCTGCCCCACCGGTTTAACCCGTCACAAACGCATGCAAAGGCATGTCAATTATTCACCTGAAAAAGAATCATGTTCACAGAAAAAAGCTCATTCAAACTTTTCGGAGCAGGTGGAACAATTTTTGTCAGTGGAGATGAGATTTATTTACAAACACACAGAGGTGGAGTTTTTTATTTACATAAAATTATGACCTGTGTTATTTTTTTCAAACAGATCCTGTCCCGAGTTTCGAGATCCACAGCTCCCTTTCTGGACTGTGGTTCTCATGTAAGGTCACACTGACATCGGCTAGGCTTGCCATGAACCTGCACCGGGGACTTTCTGCAATCACTGATGCTCTGATATTTCCACTAACAATTCATGTAAACTGAACTAAATCATAATCCTTGCAAAGTCAAACGGTTCACGCTGCCACGTGAATTTCTTATATAGGATGGTTTAGTAAGTCGGCTTGTTTGTTGGATCCACGATAAAGTATTGTGAGAGAATGTAAATATGTACTGTCTATTAAAGTACACGATATTGTTTGAGTGTGTTTCGCGCAGCCTGTTTACAATACAAATTCACAGACGTCAGAAGTATTCCGGGTATGAAACACAATATTCTGATGAAGCTGTTAGTCAATTTTGCTGTTATGATGCTACATGTACACACAGGAAGTACTTATAGAGCAGCTGTTTCCCTGAGCTGGCTTTCGGCCAAACACTTGAGTCGGACCATGGTATATATATCCCGCATCAGTGCAGCCGTATACAGTAAACTGCGCCATGGAGACGGTATCAACAGTAATAGTCATCGGTCTTGTGTCGTTGTGTGGTGTCAGTGTCGTACATGCTGACACCAGTTTGACAGCTTTCACTGACCAACCGAAGCTACTAGAGGGAGAGATCAACGCATGGAACAAAACAGCTGTTTATCTTGAGACTAAAATGAATCATACATTTAGCACGTTGGGGTCATTACTGAAAGAGAACCTGACTAACACGTTCATTCCTGCCCTGATGAAGGGTCTAGTGAAACAAGCGATTACTGGCATTCTGAAAGAAGGTTACATTGAGGATATTATTAGGGAACGTGTCCAGGATGAAATCAACAGCCTGAAAGCCAATGTACACAACTTGAAGACACAACTTCAGGCAGTAACACAACAGTTCAGACATGTTGAACGAGAAAGAGACACCTTCAAAGATAGTCTTGCAAAACTACGTGGTGGGCTGAACAAAGACATCCATAGTTTACAGCTGCAGCTGAATGAGACGGTAGCTGGTCTTCGTGATGCAAAGATAGTGAACACTGTTCTCAGACAGGATCTGATGACACTGAATACAAGCTGTGTGAAGATGAGCCAAGTGACTAAACGACTCACCAATGAAAAACAATCATGCAGGGAGGGCTTGCGGGGAATGCAGCAAAAGTTCAGTACTGACATTCAGAGTTTAAACAATCAATTTAATCAGACCATTGACAATCTGCATGATTCAGAGCAAAGAATCACTGGTCTTACAGTGGACATGATGGCACTGAATACAAGCTGTGTGATGAGAGAAGGGACTAAAGAGAATGATGTTAATGAAACGTTGCTGTCTACATCGTCGACGCAAGTGCCATTCACCGCCTCGTCCCCTTGTACCTATGTTTCCTCTGCTGTAGGAGGTGAGACTTTTAGCAGAGATTTTTATGATTATGGAAACGGTTTTGTGGCTGAATTTACAACCGTCTCTTTTAACATGCCATGCGATAGATGTATGAAATATATTATTTCCTTTTAAAAAAAGGATAAAAGTATGTCTTGAATGTCAAACAATCAATCGAATGCATGCAAAGGATATGCCTTCTTCTGCCTTTAAAAATGTGTCTAAACTTTCTATGTTTAAATGTGGATACCGTAAATTAAGCTCATTTCAAACATTGTATGTAGCATTTAAAATGACAACAGACTTACAGAGCATTTTGACAAAGGGTTTCCTGGGCATGTCGACATAGGGTTAACAGTGTATGTTAACATATGACATACAGATCATATCGACATAGGGTTTACAGGGCATGTCAACATAAGGTTTACAGGGCATGGCAACATTGGGGCTTACAGAGCATGGCAACACAGGGCTTATAGGGCATGTCAACATGGAGTTTACTTGGCATGTCGACAGAGGGTGTGCATGGCATGTCGACATAGGGTCTGCTTGGCATGTCAACATGTGGCTTACAGAACATGTTTTCATGGGGCTTAGGGGGCATGTCAACCAAGGTCTTACAGAGCATGTCGAGATCGGGTTTACAGGGCATGTCAGCTTCTGGCATACAGAGCATGTCGAGATTGTCCAGGGTTGTTACGAGTGGAAGTGGAATGAAGGGATACACTCCAAATCCATTCGCACAATTAAAGGATCTCACAACAATTAAGACAGATATTTATTAACAATGCATGTTAGATTACCAATACAGCTAAGTTTACTATGGGATAATTAGGCTTGGGCTACCATGTACAATAATATCACCATAAAAGGGCTACAGCATATTGTATACTTATATAATCACCCTGATTTCCATGTTTGATTGTTCACTCCACTCCTTGTTCCACGAAAACACATATATCCATAGTTCCACATAAGCTCACAATGCAATTTTTCCAAGGCACACATTTCCAGATATCAGCATGTTTTCTAGTTCAGTTTCACAAGCCCCGACATGGGATACTATCTCTCACACAGTGTTCTGAACTTTAACATTAAAAATGAGGAGGTTCAAATACAGGAAGCAGAAAAACTAACTATTTCTGAATCACCACAACCTTATACTATAATCCTGATTAGCTACAAGCTTCACTTGTGACATAATTACTTAACCCGCTCAGGCGGCCAGCTCCCCAGGTGCACTATTCAAGCAAAATTACGCAACCCAAGCCTTCTTGTTTCAGTTCAAGTCTAAATGCATCTGACATACTAACAAACATATAAAAGCATACACCCATACACATAACAGGGTTGACAGGACATGTCAACATAGGCCTTACTGAGCATGTCGGCAAAGAGTTAACTGGGCATGTAAATATAGGGGTTACAGGACATGTGGAGATAGGGTTTACGGGACATTTCAAGATAGGGTTTGCGGGACATGTCAACATAGGCCTTACTGAGCATGTCGGCAAAGAGTTAACTGGGCATGTAAATATAGGGGTTACAGGACATGTGGAGATAGGGTTTACGGGACATTTCAAGATAGGGTTTGCGGGACATGTCAACATAGGCCTTACTGAGCATGTCGGCAAAGAGTTAACTGGGCATGTAAATATAGGGGTTACAGGACATGTGGAGATAGGGTTTACGGGACATGTCCAGATAGGGTTTGCGGGACATGTCAACATAGGCCTTACTGAGCATGTCGGCAAAGATTTAACTGGGCATGTAAATATAGGGGTTACAGGACATGTGGAGATAGGGTTTTCGGGACATGTCCAGATAGGGTTTGCGGGACATGTCAACATAGGCCTTACTGAGCATGTCGGCAAAGATTTAACTGGGCATGTAAACATAAGGTTTACCGGACATGTCATGATGGTGTGTATAGGGCACGCCAACGTGTGGTTTACAGATATACATGTATCGCTTGAAATAATTTTGTACCTTGGACATGCACCCTCAAACAGTAATAATTGGGTTCACGATTTTCTGTATGGTGGAATATAAAACATGTTGGGAGCTACGTGTATATATTAGTGTTGAGATGAAATATCTCGTCATCCCCTAATCAGTCCGAAAAGATGCCTAACTGAAGATATGCCAACCCTAAATGAAGCTTTTGAATATTCAGTAATTTTAGTAACGGGTAATTTCATATGACTAAGGGTAATGTTAACAGAAATGTTGGGTTCCTATCATCTATTGAGGACTTTGAAAATTATGCAGAATTAGTTATATTAGTGAAGATGGTTTGTTTTCATCTGTTATAATAATCTGGCAATCCATTAGTCATACACACTTCATAACCAGTCAAAATGAATGAAGAAATGTTATTTAGATACATAAATAACACATCTGATGTCCACGGTAATTATATAGTAAGCGTGCCGGGACCAAAGGAAGATCTCTACGTCAGGGTCTCTTTCTACTTAATGAGAATTCATTGTATGTTTATTGTATGTTTATTTCATCTGATATGTTTAGCAAATAACTGACTCCGAAAATTCAGAAAATCTCTCAGACGGGACACTCAATAGCCAGGTACATAGGGTAACGTCGGAATGAATACTCCAACCAATATTCACCACAATATATAAAGGAGCGCGTGACTCAGATAAGAACAAGAAAAGTTGCGCGTCTCTTTAAAAAATGTTAGTTACACATAATTTAATCCGTCTTTTGTCTAGTTCTAAAAGCGATGTTAAGTTACTTAAATAATTCAAATCTCCTTACTGAATCTTATCACTGGCAACTAGACATACATTTGGTATCAATCATCTCGAGCATCTCGCTCTTTTTAACTCGATTTGCGGGCGCATCATGTCATGACACGTTCAACGCAAAGTGATAGAGCAAAAAGGAATATTGCGGGTTACCTAATAATTTACAGGAATATGAATGACTTCGTGCATGTGAGGCGGAAACACTGGCAATACAGTCAAGGGGCAAGATAATGGATCGTATTAACACAGGGCATATAGTTTCATTTCATCTGTATATATACTCAACAACAAAAGTTTCTGTGAGACCAATATATAAGTGTATTTTTCAAACAAGTAAAATCAATATTGTAGTACATGTATGGAATCAAGTCACAAAAACGCAGCTGCTACAGAAAAGCATGCATTCCATGCCAAAGTTGACTTTTATGCAAGCCCAATTTATTTTCTGCCCAAGAATGAGTATAAAAATATATGCGTTAACGAGATTAAATATGCATTGTATAGCATTGTGCTGACAACAACCTCTCAGAAAAACAACAAAATTACGCAATTATTCAACATTACGAAATGCCACGCCTGTCTGAAAATGAGCGTCTGAGAGCCATTGGTATGCTTGACGCAGGATCGAGTCAACGTGATGTTACAAGAAAATTTAACGTCCACAGAAAAACCATTTGGTGTTTATGGCAACGTTGGCAACAGACGAATGCAGTCAGAGACCATCCTCGGAGTGGCAGGCCATGCATAACCAATAATCGACAAGACAACTGGATTCGAACAACACACCTACGAAATCGATTCCAGCCAGCAACAGTGACTGCAAGAAGCATCCCTGGCCTTCGACGAATATCTTAACAAACCGTACGTCGTCGCCTCAGATGTGCAGGGATCGTCGCCAGAAGACCCGCCAGACGTCCCATTTTGACATGTAAACCACCGTCAAGTACGTCTACAGTGGTGCGGACAACGTCTACGCTGGATGGCCATGCAGAGGGGCCATTTCTATTCACTGACGAGTCTCATTTTCATCTCAGCTACAGTGATGGACGGATTCGAGTGTACCAACGTCGAGGTGAACGTTACGTCAATCATTGTGTCATGGAAGCAGATCGGTTCGGGGGCGGCAGCGTAATGGTATGGGGTGGGATTACAGCAAGACAGAGGACCCGTTTGATAGTGGTAGAGGGAAATTTCAATGGACAGCGCTACCACGACAAGGTCATCGGCCCTGTTGTTCTACCGTTTTCGCGTCATTATGCCCCAGGCATTACCTTTCAACATGACAACTCGTATTGCTCGACTTGTTCAGGACCCTCTTCAACAAAACAACGTGAATGTCATCCCCTGGCCAGCTCGCTCCCCTTATCTCTCACCAATCGAGCACATGTGGAATGAGATGGATCGGCGCCTTCTACGTCAACAACGTGTTCCACAGACTCTCCAGGAACTTCGAAACATGCTCCAGCAGATATGGACAGATATCCCACAGGATTTTGTGCGACGCCTGGTCCATTCCATGAGACGAAGATGTGTTGCTTGCATCGCAACCAGAGGTGGACACACACGCTATTGATTTGTAAATTGACATTTTGGCATTATCATGTTCTTTTCATGAAATCACGCATTTTCTGAAGTCAGAATGGCAAATTAAACCATTTGAACACTTACAGGAGTCTTTTATCTGTTGCAAACCGAAATTGATTCAGATTTGGTAAAAAACATAACTTTGCTTTAAACCTTATTCAATGTCACAGGAACCTTTTTGTGAGTATATTTGCAGTCACGGGACTAGTTTCATCACTTGGTAATACCTCGATCAGGGGGAAAATCCCAAAGTAAAAGCGTGATCTATAGTATACATTGACAGGTGGTTTCTTGAGATGGCAGTTGTGCCGTGGAGACTTATGATAATAGACACAATAGTTTTGGTTTCGGGCTAAATACACTAGGCCTATGTTTACCATTAATATGGACATTTTGCTAACGGGGACATTTATCACCAAATACATGCATTCAGCTTAAAAGCGCCCAAAGAGTATGAATAATTAATTCCACACTGGAATACAGGCATTTGGGTAGATGTCAGTAGTTAGGTCCCCAAACCGGAACACTTGGTTTTTTACGTTCGTTGTCGAATGAAAAACGTTCTGTATTAGGGAACATTAGAGTAGAAAACTACTTTGAAGCATAAATGAGAATCCGACCTCAATGTGATAAAGGTGCCTGACCTATCTGTGACAGCGGAATTGTCCTGGTCTGTAAATAATCTAGAGTCTGGACCAGACAATCCAGTGATTGTTGTCATGAGCATCGATCCATGCTAATTCGTAGGGCACCAACGCCCGCATCGAACAATTTTGTGACTGTTGTCGCACGGTTAGTTTAGTTGATTTGTTGTTTTACGCTGCACTCATCAATATTCCAGCTAAATGACAGCTATCTGTAAATAATCGATTCTGGACCAGACAATCCATTGATTCATATCATGAACATCGATCCACGCAATTGGGATCAATGACATGAATCAACTAAGTAAATGAGCCTGACCACCCGATCCCGTTGGTCGCATCTTACGACAAGCATAGTTACCTTTTAAGGCAAGCATGGGTTGCTCAAGCCCTTTTCTACCATGGATCTTCACACGGACACAATGCTTTATCGCAGGATAAAGTATAGTCGGTGCCTTTGATATTTTAACGAAGCATCTTAGAATAAAAATAAAGACATATTTTACACACGATGATGAAGTAGATTTCTTTAACCAATGAAGTAGGCTTTATTTTTTACCTAAACATGCAATCTGAACCGAAATAAGTTGAGACTGTAATCAGACTTCTAGGTAAGACGGTAGTAAGATTTGTAGATCTAGTATATTATGATCGGCACAAGCAGCCGAGCGCCAAACTATGTCATGCTCCTAACCAGACACGTCACAGTGACGTCATAGTCGTGACGTCATGTCACTCGTGTTAGGACGTAAACGATTGGTAAGTTTTCAGTTTGTACTTCAGAATTTTGTTGGGAATTTAAATGAAACTAACATTGTAAATATAGTAAGATTGATGTACAACAGAATACATTTGAAGGAAGCAGGTGCTTCACACAATGTTTACACCCAAAACGTTTGTCTACCCTGTCACCAGGGATAACAAACGTCTGGATGTAAACATTCAACACCTCGTTTCAACTGAAATGCTTGTTCTATTTTAATCAGTATGTTGCAAAATTGTAAGTTTCATCTTTGAACAAACAACAATATTTACAACTGAGACTGAAGACTATATGATATTTTTTCTAAATCTGTTCAGTCAAGTGTCGGATGTGTTTTTTCGATCATATTTTCAAAACGTTGTTCTGCATCATAGAATGGCCAAATATGTCAGCCATATTATTTCTAGACTCAAGGCCTGCAGCTTTGTTCTTCTATTCCGGAACATATTATGAGGAACAAATGTATTTCTGCAGGGCACCAACATTGTTTTTTGAAGAATGGCAAGGTAGAATATTTTAGAGAGGCCTACCTTTAGAATACAGTACCACAAACGTTTCAATCACGTGACAATTAAGAATTGACCTTCACTTTGTGTGAGTTCATCGGAGTATGAATCTTCATAGAGTGAGGGCCAAACTGTATGAACGTCGGAGCTATTACCTTTTGACGTAATTTGTAGTATTTTGTTGCCACTCACACCGGCAAAACAATGCCCTGTGACGTCAGGGGTCATCGAGAGTGCAAAAAGCTCCTCCCAGTAATTTATCATCTCTACACGAAATGACATTGAATACGCCAAGCGGTGGTGAGAGTTTTGAATATTTCTTTACTAAATATAGCCTGCGGCGGCGCATTTTATAGCAAGCGCTAGTTTACGAAAGCACTTTTATTTTTTATATATTTTTTTATTTCGTTTTTCTCGTAATTCAAGTGGCTTAAATGGTTATAAATGGGAACTGATATACATATATTATTTTTTCGGTTCATTAATTTTCATTATAATGCACAAGAATGCATTTTATTAGGGATATTACATTGGCGCTGAACACATCCAAATATCGCTAGTGTTAGGGTAGGTCACCTCGAACTCTATCCTTAGTCTTTCGATCCCCTTTCGATCATTAGGGTTAGGTACCCATTTGGTGGTGTTGTAACTGCTTTCGGGCGTCCAGTGAGACCCCACTACATTTACTAAATGTATTGCCGTTCCTGGTCAAGAAGTGATTGATCTAACGACGCTTACTCCAAGTTGTATTTATCAGGATTCATACTCGCATAATAAAGAAACGCAACACCAGCTTTATACTCACATAGTTTTACTTACTCTCAGCCCATCTATCAATACAGGACAGGATCTGGGGAAAACTTAGAACGATTCTAAACATTGACTACATATTCCTTGATTACATTAACCTTCTGTCGTCCTTCACCTTGATCGTTGTACTGTCAGCCATGTTGGAAATTGTTTGATGACAAATCGTGCCACTTGTCCACGCGTTGAGGTGTGAACAATGTAGATGTATAACGAAGGTGTCTGGATGTGTACAGAGTTTTCTTTGTGATTCAGCGACTTCATCACCAGCAGACTGCGATGATCTCTTTGAAGCCAGCTATGCCAGGAACCTGGAGGAGGTGAGGCGGCTCCTGTCTCGGGGCGTCGAGGTCAATTGTAGGATAAGGAGCATGACACCGGTGATGGGGGCAGCATTGTTGGGACATAGAGACGTGGTGGAGCTCCTGGTGAGTAAAAGGGCCTATGTGTATCTGGTGGACGGGGACGGTAACAACATCCTTCACCTCGCCTGTAGAGGAGGAGATGTAGAGACGGTGAAGTTTCTGCTGTCTCTGAACGTGGTGGACATCGACGCCAGGAACAAAGACGGTGAGACGGCGGGCCACATGGCGAAATCCCCCGTAGCTATGTGTTTGTGTAGAGGGTTGAGGTGACGTGACAGTGACATGAGGTGCCGTTTACGTCGTCGTGTGTAAATATGTCTTCATTTAATTGAAACTGTTTGTTGTTTTTGGAGATAAATAAAACTTGTCAAAACGTTTTTCAGACATTTTGTCATTTGTTGTGTTTGGACCTTCGCATGATCGGATTAGAAAAGTGTTAACTGAGTGTAAATAGAGATTATGTGTGATTGGTATGTAAACACAGTACCTCGTGATATATTCATGCATGTCGTTATATATTTCTTTGTTAATTGTACGTCATAAGTAATTAATCATGAAAAACACACACAAAATCTTGCCGCACTCGGTGACCTCAGACCGAGCCGAGGTTCGCTAAGACGACGTGGCGCAAATTTACAATGACAGTGACGTCACACTGTCGATGACGTCACGTCATTCCGGCCTAGGTCTAAACACTAAAGCTGTCTTCTGTTTTCTCTGCTAAATACGATATCGGTAATTCACAGGGCAGCACAATGCTGGCTTCGTGACATATGCAAGTACAGCACAGGCCTCATGTGGGCGATATAGTTTAACAAAGGCAAAATATACATCTGTTTCTATAGAGACGTGTTGCATATTATTGCTGCTGAAATTTAAAAAGAAATATTTCTGATTGGCGAGATATTCATTTTCTCTCTCCCAATTTACCATTTCAATCAAGCTACTTGACAGCACGTGACACCTTCTTTACACTCTCGTCTTACGACTGATCAGATTTCCCAGATGAATTCAGAGCTATAGATAGGTTCTTGGTTATTTGTTGTTGTTTTTTTATACCAAGGGGCAGGATGCCAGAGGGACATCTAACCTCGCGTTGAAGTCGAATAAAATTCAAAATACATAAATCATCGTATCTAAAAGACAAAATATATTTTAAGATGCATAAATATAAATCATTGTTGAAAAAAAAAATGTTGAAAAAAAACACCTAATAAGGTTGATTGGTGCTCACCATCTTTATCTTCATCAGTTTGCCTGCTCCCTATTAGAAATCAAAATATAAATACATATATTACATTCTTGAGTTTACATAGATCAAGGTATGACTTAATACATTCAAGTTTAAACGTGGTGATAGAAAGTGAGTTTCTTAATTGTCCTGAGATAATATGTTTAAATAATTGAAGTCTTCATGTTAAAAAAAACCCCAAAACACCTAATAATTAATGGCAACAATTAATTAATTATATTGATCTGGATAAACTCCACCTGTAGAAACAACTGCTGTGGTTGCAAAATATCTTGGTTGTGAGATGTACGGTCCATCCGTCAATCCGGCAAAGATTGATCGCTCCCTGCATTAACATTGAGTATTGCTTTAGATCCAAATGATTTGCGTGTTTATTTTCTTAAAATATGAAATTTAAGTCCTGATTATTTTAATATAACTATGAAATATATTTTTGACCGATCGGCTCAAGATCAAAACTTCGTTATAACGTGAAATTTCTTATGTGGTTGATGGTTATATATTTTGAAAATAACAAAAACAATATGGTTTGTACACTATTTTAGCAGTATTTTTACATGAGTTAATCAACTGTTTCTTTAGCTGTTTTATCAGTCTTGAAAACGCCCTGTAAAGAATGTATCGGAGTTGATCACCTGGTCCCGTGATATCGATGCGGTATCTCGCTTCGGTTACCGTCTTTCTGCAACTGAATCTCGTACATTGGGAAGCCGAAATTCTCTGATACATCTCCACATATCACACACCTTCCTCCCCTACAAATTTACTCTCGGTCACCAACTTTGGGAGATGGAAACATCATCACTACGGTAATGTTTTGACAGCCGGGGATTTCCTGTACCAGACATTAGGAGTCCCCGATCCGAAAATAGTGGCGTCAATTATTTTTAGCCAGCCAATCAAAACGCGATGACACAGCTCTTCACTCTCAGACAGCCAATCAGATTGGGTGAATAAAAATAAACCACTACCAATAAACGGCTGCTAGCGATTGAAGATCAAGCCCTGTTATGGGAGAAAATATGTATAATGTATACTGATGAGGTATTATGTGCTTTTCACTTGGCATCTAGTTTGTTTGTTGCAAACGCTTTTCCGAATATAACTGGCGTTAAGTAAATTTGGCGACCGGCTGATACACAATCATGTTATCTAACAGATGTAACATATGCAATCATTTTATATAATAGTTATGATATAAGCATAAACTTTATTTAAAGAGCATATTTGTAGTTTTTGTTGTGTTATTGATACGCTAGGATTTGATTTGTCTGCGTACTTCAGTTTATTTAATGCGTATTTAACGCAAAAACACAGCTCATCTCGAGCTCTGGAAGTTACCTTTTACTTTGATTAATCAGATTGGATCGAGATTGCAGGCTAACATGAAATCACTAGACTGGGTTCCTGTCTACCTAAACTAAATCGCGCTAAACTTGCGTGGCGTACCAACAATGGAACCAGTTTAATAAAATCACCCAACTTCTCCCTTACATTCCTACTGTACCAATTATATGATAGTTGATACGAATTAGAATTCAAATTGACAAAGCATTAATAATTAGCTGGGGTAAGTGTTTATTCATTGTCACTGAAGTCATCACTTGTTTATAAACAAAATGGTCAGTCGGTTGCCAATTGAACTCCAAGCATGGTTGTGGTCACCTATCACAGTGGGCAGCTTTGACTGGTGCCAGCGATAGCAAGAAAAATTGCATTCCAATAACAGGTGAGGTTAAATAGGGTTTAACGTCGTGTCCAAGATTATTGCACTTATATAGCGACGTGTGTGTGTGCGTGCGTGTGCGTTTGCGTGTGCGTGTGCGTGTGCGTGTGCGTGCGCCTGCGCGTGCGTGCGTGCGTGCGTGCGTGTGGCTGCTTTTAATAGTCCGGAATGATGGCGATTTATAGTGCTACTTTACTGAGATACCATGCCGACCAGTCCTTGTTTTAGCCCCTTAATGCCGAACGCCAGACAGGGCAACAACAAGAACCATCTTTTAACGTCTTTTGGTATGACGCTGCCGGGGATCAAACCCCGGACCTTCCGCTCACCGCTCTAGACCACGGAGACGGCCCTGTTCCAATAACAAAACAAGAGGCCCATATCGCCCGTGTCGCTCCACTGGATATTTACGTAGTCAGTCCATTTGTACAATTGTGAATTCCTATCACCTGAGAATACTTCCAACAAAATATGGTAGATGTCCATCTCTGAGTTCCAGAGAAGAAGCAATAACGCCAAATTACCCCTATTTGGCCCCGCCCCTCAGCCCCTTAGGGGGTCAAATTGTACAAATTTGAATCCTCACCCCCGGGGAATTCTTCCAAACAAATATGGTTGATATCTATACACTAGTTCCAGAGAAGTCGCTTAAAGCAATGCAGCCAATGTACCCTTATTTGGCCCCGCCTCACAGCTCCTTTGGGGATCAGCCCCACCATTTGTACCATTTTGATTCCCCCCACCTAGGGATGCTTCCAGTCAAATTTCGTTAGTTTCGACAGACGCCACGGTATGGCATTAGCTCACGTTGGTCCTTCGAACCAAGTGAGCTAAAATACTCAATAGCGATTAAAATAAAGCAGCAACACTTGGCCCATTCAAAGGTAAACGTCAAGCAAAAACGTGGAAAAAAGTAGATATAAATCCTCATATTCTTTCCAAAAAGGACACTTCAAATCTGATTCGTACTGTTGTCTTTGCTCATTAAGACGGTGGGATAGCCAAGTGGCAAAAGCAAAAGAATTCGATTAAAACGAATTAGTGAAACGTATTTCTGGTGTCCGCCTTGTTATTCCCTGTCAGTTTCAACATCTGATGTATAACAGCTACAGAACATACACATCCACTACTGGTGCACATCCTTGTTATTCCCTATCAGTCTCAACACCTGTTGTATAACAGCTACAGAACATACACATCCACTACTGGTGCACATCCTTGTTATTCCCTGTCAATCTCAACACCTGATGTATAACAGCTACAGAACATACACATCCACTACTGGTGCACATCCTTGTTATTCCCTGTCAGTCTCAACACCTGATGTATAACAGCTACAGAACATACACATCCACTACTGGTGCACATCCTTGTTAGTCCCTGTCAATCTCAACACCTGATGTATAACAGCTACAGAACATACACATCCACTACTGGTGCACATCCTTGTTATTCCCTATCAGTCTCAACACCTGTTGTATAACAGCTACATATCATACACATCCACTACTGGTGCACATCCTTGTTATTCCCTGTCAGTCTCAACACCTGATGTATAACAGCTACAGAACATAATCCACTACTGGTGCACATCCTTGTTAGTCCCTGTCAATCTCAACACCTGATGTATAACAGCTAAACAACATACACATCCACTACTGGTGCACATCCTTGTTATTCTCTGTCAGTCTCAACACCTGATGTATAACAGCTACAGAACATGCACATCCACTAATGACGCACTTGCTGATGGGGAATGGTGGGTCAGTGATTTGGAGAGGTGGATCAGTGATGGAGATTGCTAGGACAGTTATGATGAGTGGTGGGCCAGTGATTGGGTGTTGTTGATCAGTGATGGAGATTGCTGGGAGTGGTTGGTCAGTGATGGGGTGTTGTAGATCAGTGACGGAGATTGTTTGACAGTTGTGAGGAGTGGTGGGTCAGGGATGAAAGTTGGTGAAGGGGAGTGATGGGTCAAAGACTGGTGGTGAGGAGTCGTGGTTCATTGATGAGGAACTGTGGCTCACAGGTGGGTCAGTGATGGTGAGTGGTGGGTCAGTGATTGGGTGTTGTGGATCAGTGATGGAGATTGCTGGGACAGTTATGAGGAGTGGTGGGTCAGTGAGGAGGATTGGTGGATCAGTGATTGGGTGTTGTGGATAGGTGATGGAGATTGTTGGGACAGTGATGAGGAGTGGTGGGTCAGTGATGGTGAGTGGTGGGTCAGTGATGGTGAGTGGTGGGTCAGTGATTGGGTGTTGTGGATCAGTGATTGAGATTGCTGGGACAGTTATGAGTGAGTGAGTGAGTCAATATTAAGCGTCACATCGGCAATATTACAGCCATACCGTGACGAGAAGTTATACATTAAATATACACATATCTATACTTTTTAAAAA